ATTTTTCTTCATTGAATTTATTGGTACATTTTAGGTAGACAGTACAGTTACATTCATCATCGGGAACTTGTACCTTTACATGACAGATCTTGGTTCTCATTTTTCCCAATAGCTTGCGCTCCCTTGACCCCTGAAGAGGGTCAGCGACACTCAGCAACAGCTCCACACACCGAGAGGTCCAACAGGAGACTTTATTCAGGAGAGCAGATGAGAGAGAGAACAAAGAAGGGATGGTCCTTAATTGGTTTAGGGCTGGGCCACTGCATATCTGTGAGCAAGGTGGTTGCTTTTAACCTATCACAAGCCTTGATGCCTTTTCAGGACTTAGCCTTGCAGAAGCTAAGTTTCATTTCTCTAAACTGTCACAGCCTTGGGAAAAGAAGACTCAACACAGTGGCATGGAGGCATGAAGAACATAAAGAACCCAGAAGGGTGGCCTACAATGGCAGTGACAGGTCCCTAACAACCCCCTTCTCCCTTCCCTGTTTACAAATTGTATTTGCATTTTTGCATTTTTTCATATATTTTTCCCTTATTGCCTTTCCCCTACCCTTCCCAGTTCCCCTATAATCTTAGCCCTGTTCTTCCTATTTCACATCGTCATTTATACTGTTAGGATCTTGTTTACAATTCTAGTTTCTCACACCAAAGAAACTATTTGGTATTTACACATGTGTGTCATATTCATCTTACTTGAGTATAACCGTATTATGCATCCATTCTCCTATGAATGACTCTAGTTTCTCAGAGTTTTTATGGCTGAGTAGTATTCTATTTTATAGAAAAAAACACGTCTTGTTTATCGAGTCTCCAACTGATGGGCAAATGGGCTCTTTCCAAATTTTAGCTACGACAAACTGTGCCGCTATAAACATAGGTGCGCATATATCACTGTGATATGATTCTTTTAATTCTTTTGGAAAGATACCCAGCAGAGGGCCGGCTGGGTCAAATGGAACCTCTAATCCCAGCTCTTTGAGATATCTCCATACTGATTTCCATAGTGGTTGCACCACCAGTCTGCACTCCCACCAACAGTGGAGAAGGGTTCCTTTCTCCCCACAACCCGACATTTCTTATTGGTTGATTTCTTGATAGCAGCCGTTCTTTGTGGGGTGAGGTGGAATCTCAGTATTGTTTTCATCTGCATCTCTCGAATGACCAGTGATGTGCAACAGTTTTTCATATATTTACGTGCTGCTTTTACTTCTTTGCCTGAGAAATGCCTGTTCATTTCAGATGCCTGTTTTGAATCAGGTCTTTATATTTGGGGTGGGCTGATTTCTTGCAGTTCTTTATATATTCTAGACAACAGTCCTTTGTCTGAGGAGCAGCTGCTAAAATTCTTTTACCACAATGTAGCTTGTGTTTTAGTTCTGATGACGGTTTCTTTTGCAGTGCAGAAGCTTTTTCGTAAGAGGAGATCCCAGTTGTTGATTCTTTCTCCTAGTTCCTGTGCTACTGACAATTTGTTTACAAATAAATGATAATACCTATACAACATACAGGAATCTGTGGGACACAATGCAAGCAGTTCCACGTGGAAAATTCATAGCAGTTGGTGCCCAAACTAGGAACATAGAGCGAGCTCAAATAAACATCCTAATGATAAATCTTAGACTCCCAGAAAAAGAAGAGCAGGAAAAACCCAAAGCTCGTACAACAGAGGAAATCATAAAGATTACAGCAGAAATCAATGCAATAGAACCTAAGTAAATGATACAAAAAAATAAATGAATCACAGAGGTGGTTTTGTGAAAGAATAAATAAAACGGATAAACCCTTAGCTAACCTTGTGAAAACAGGAAAGAAAAGGCTCAGATCCGTGCAATTAGGAACGAAAAAGGTGGAGTCACAACAGATCCAACAGAAATCCAGAGGATCATAAATATCTACTTTGAGAACATGGAGTCTAATAAAATGGAAAACACAGAAGAAATGCACAGATTTCTACTTACTTATGAATTAACAAAATTGAACCAAGATAAAAAGCCTAAACACCCTAATTACTACCAGTGAAATTGAAAATATCATTAAAAGTTTACCAACAAAGAAAAGCCCAGGTCCTCATGGATTCACGGCTGAATTTTATAAGACATTTAGAGAAGAACTACTGCCACTACTCTTTAAACTTTTCAATGAAATTGAAAGGGAAGCAATACTTCCAAATTCATTCCTGGAGGCAAGTATCACTTTGATTCCCAAACCAGGGAAAGACGCAATTAAAAACGAGAACTACAGGCCAAGCTCCTTAATGAACATAGCTGCAAACATCCTCAATAAGATACTGGCAAACAGAATACAGAGGGTCATCAAGAACATCATACATCCTGACCAAAATGGATTTATTCCAGGGACGCAAGGATGGTTCAACATACGTAAATCGATAAATGTAATCCACTATATTCACAGAGTCAAGGACAAAAGCCATATGACATACTCTCAACATCATCATATTTGAACACAGTAGGAATCAGTGGTCTGTGTACAGGCCCATGCTCAGCTTGTTACCATTTAATGAAAAATATTTTTTGACCTAAGGAACACTTTCACGAAGAGCCAGCTTCAGAGAAACAGCAGCCGATGCTTTTGTGCTCTGAAAACCTGATGGAAGGCATTGAGCAAAATCACCTCACAAAAAACAGAGACAGGCTCACCCAGAACCTGTCACCGTTCCTCAGAGAAGTCAATGACTCCAGGAAGAATTATACTTACGCTGTGAACAGCAGTGACATGATGAGCTGACAGCTCCTTGGATTCTAACTTTGATGTGGCCCAGAGGTGGAGACACTTGCAAAGGAGAGGGCCTGGCTGATCTGGCTCTTTCCATCGCATTGTGGGGAACATGGCAAAGGTCATCCGGCTACTTCACCAGGGACCAGGGGTGTGCGTGCACTCAGTATGGGACAGGGCGCTGCTGGATCCTGCAGGAATGGTTGGAAGGATGATGAGAGGAGATAGAGACACAAACATCTCAGATTCTATCCGCTTCCTCCAGGGGCAACCCAGGGGGTGAATCGCCAGTTTTCCGCCACAATCTGCCTTATATATGTGTACATTTTTGGTAATATTTAGAACAAGGTTTATATTGACTCAGAAAAAAACAGATAAAGTGAGGAATGATGCTGAATGCTTGAACAGAACAACACTTAACATTTAAAAGGTAAATTAACTGTGAGCATATCAAAACAGAGCCATCCCAGATTTTAGTGTTTTTTCCATTGAAACAAATGCAGCACGATTTCCCACATGGTTTCCCTCTGTCATCAAGTGGCTGGAAATATCAGCAAAGTCATCCAGAGTTTGAGAATAAATACAAGTTGAGCCAGCAAAGGGGTTCAAGTAGGTGGCTAAAAAGAACTTTGCTGAGGAATGATCTGCCGTTACCTCAGAGAAAGTTTGGACAGGTCAAGGCCAACAGAGGGACCAGACTCTTGTTAATAAGGAGTTAAGGAATCCCTCCCACGGAGAAAAAAAGCCTTCAGGCATTCTGTGGACTTCAGGTCTCTTCGTTATGTGTGGGGCGCCTCCGTTAGGAAGCGCAGGCCTAGGTGTCTCCTTCCCCCTATAGGTCCCAAGAAAAGCAGATGGGTAATCTATTTGATCCCATCACCACACAGATTCCACTGACCTCACCACTAGGCCATATCCTTAAAAATGCGACAGATTAAACAAGAACGGCTAATTTACTGTTGTAATATAGTCTGAATTCAATAGGAACTGAGAAGTCGCAAAGGATTGGTACAAGATGGTACTTTAAAAGAACAGAGTATTCTCCAGTTACAGAGTTTCTGCTTGGAACATAAATGGTGGAGTAAAATGCCTTTATGTTCAGGGTTTTGTGATTCTGCATCACAGGAAATGGTGAAAGATGAACAGGAAGACTCTGTTCTGGAACTATTTTTCTCTCAGGGGGATGAGGGCCTTTCTGACCTACCTGATGATCCTGGGAGGTCTCTTCCACCTTCTACTTTCAACCCTCAGGCTAGGAAATCATGCCCCTTATTCAGTTGCAGATGTCCAACAGTACAAGGACAGATTAGGTCAGCAGTCAGAAGAGACCCCAGTAAGTTTGCAGATGGGTTTCAAGCTTTCACCCTTGCTTTTGAATTACCGTGGAAAGATGTCCAATTCATCTTGGCCACTGGCTGCACCTCAGATGAAAAACCAAGAGTCCTATAAAGGTTAAGCACGATGCACATGGATAATACGCTGCAAAAAGGGAAGGAGGCCACCCTGCAGAAGCTACGATCCCCTCAACAGAGGCAAACTAGAGGCATAGTTGGGGTGCAGGGGGTGCTTACTCGGATATTCTTCACTCTTCCTCTGGTCTGTCGCTTTGATGGTCAAATGTTTGTCCCTGAGCTTCTGATTGTCCCACAGTGTCCTACTCCCTTGGTAGGAAGGGATTTATTTTCAAAATTTGAGTCAATTCTCAAATTCCACCTAAGTCCAAAACATATTTTACTCCATGGGTGGGACTCTATCAAGTCTCCCCGACCAAATTAGCCAACAGGTCAAGTTTGAGGGAAGGTACAAGGGAACATCTGGTACAGCAAATTCAGGTACACCAGGAATTGATAAGACTAAAAGATCCCAAGTAATTTCCTAATCAAAAGCAGTATTCAATCATGGCAGAAGCACATAAAGACCTCGAACTTCTCATAGACAGGTTTCTCAAATATGGCTTTTTGAAACCTTGTCGGTCTCAGTGAAATATTCCCATTCTCCCTGTAATAAAGCCCTTGAGAAAATATGGGACGGTACAAGACCTCCATCTTACTACCAAGGCTGTCGTTCTACTCCAACCTTTAGAGGCAGATAAAAATAGAGTTCTCTCCAAAAGTCAAAAGGATACTAACCGGTTCTCAGTCTTAGAATTAAAAGACACATTCTTTTCCACCCCTCTGCATTCACACTCTCGGGTGCTGTTTGCCTTTGGATTGAAAAGTCCTTTGCAAGAGAAATGCAGCAATATTCTTGGAACATTCTCCAACAAGAGTGTGGAGGTAGCCCTCACCTTTTTGCTCAGGCACAAGAAAGAGACTGGAGGAGCCTAAACCTAGAAGGAAGAACCATCTTACACTATGCAGATGATATTCCAGTTTGAAGCCAAACCGAGCAACAATTTAACCAGAACACTGTACAAACTCTTCCCTCGTTAGCTAAGAAGGAATTTAAAAAATCTGCAGAGACCAGGCGTCCCTTATGACTTCTGAAGTGGGCTTCACTTTCTATTGCTCCTGCCTGGGTAGGGTGTGCCTCTTGGTGCTCCTGCAGCCCCTTGTCCAGGCATCCCTAGGGCCACTTGAACAAGGTGTCCTCCACAACCCAGGTGCGGCCAACACTCCAGAATCTGATGACGAGGAACCAATACTGTTTGACCATCTAGCTCTGTAATTTTCTCCAGAGGAATGTATAAGTTTGCACCCTACCCAAAGGTCCTTTACCAGAAAAGCCACACAGGACTGATTCAGGGATGGAACTTTGATGGGAGAAGAAATCAATACTGAGACCAATGAGCAATTAGGACTAGAGGCCGTGAACTTGAAGAGCTTTCCTACTGTGACCAATGAGCAGTTCAGCCTACAGGCCTTGGAACTTGAAGAGCTTTCCTCAGAAAACCGCTCCACTGCTGCACCCCTAGTCCACTACCACAAAGGTCCTCTGAGGATGCAGTTGGAATCCCTCCCTGATAGCGAAATGTCAGGTGGAAGTTCCACTTACAAGAAAACGTTAATAAGTGTCTTAGTTAATACTGAAAACCATACCTTCTTAGCAGAACTGTCTCAAAGTTTAGGGGTCAGATCACTTTCTGAAATTCTTGAGGTACCCTGGAAGAAGCCAAAAATGAGAAAAAGTGTCCTGAATGTGACCAAAGCTTCACGGATAACTCAGAACTTGCTTCGCATCAGAAAATTCATTCAGGAGAGAAAAGTATAAAGGTGGCGACTATGCGAAGACCTTCAATTATAGAGCCAACCTGAAGACACACAGGAGAATGCACACTGGTGAGAGGTATAGAAGTGCACCAAATGTGGTGCTTCAGCCAGCAGGCACATCTGTCCCGGTACATTGAAGGGACACATAGAGGAGAAGCGCTACACAGTGCTATAGGTGGGAGAGGTTTCGTGTGGCTCCCGGGATTACCATAGCATCAGAAAAGCCACACTGAAAAATCACGTGAATGTGCTCACCATGGTAAATCTCTTGCTCAGAAAACAAACCTTGTTTGCATGACCATAGACACGCACCAGCAACCAACTTCCAGCCCACTCAGAGCAAAAAGAGCTTCAAACAGCCTTCATACCCTGCCCTCCCTGAGAAGAGTTGCAAGGAAGACTCCCACTAGTACTGTGTTGGTGATGAAATTTGTTTTGATTCTCCAGAATCGAGCCCTTTCGTTGTCCTGAGTGTGACAAGAAATTCCCCTGTTTCTCCAAGCCTCTTTCTCATCAGAATATGCACAGAGAAGAAAAGCTCTACACATGTGAAATGTGTGCAGAAAATCTTACTGTGGATTCATAATTTGCATGCCATCGGAATATCCACAGCCAACAGGTACATTTTACATGTCCAGTTTGTGGGAAGAGCTTTAAAGTGAATATGCAACTCGTTACTCATAACAGAACCCAAAAGAACCACACCCTGTAAGTCTACTGCATTTTCAGCCATAAAAAAAAGAAATACAATAAAAATCTCCAAACATAAGGCTCAACTATTCCTCCCAAAAGATCAATATCTCCGATATAGTCTCACCCCAGAAAATGACAGCTAGGTAGAGATCAGATCCAGGCCCTGATCTTGGAGATGCTGCCACCAAACAACAGCTTCATTTCTTCCTGGGAATGGCCGGCTTGTATAGCATTTTATATCTAATTTTGAACTGATGGCAAAACCTTTATATGAGGCACTAAAGGGCCCTGGATCTTTGCCCCTAGAATGGAGAAAAGAGATTTACCATGCCTTAAGAAAAATAAAGTGTGCCTTTACTCTTCAGCACTGGGAATACTTGACTTAAAACACCTAAAATCTTATTTCTGTATCAGAAAAGGGAGGTGTTACTTTGGTTGGGAGTCTTGATCCAAAGACTAACACAAGAACTCCACCCAGGGGATTTTTTTTCCAAGATACTACACAGGGGGGCTTCTGCGTGTCCAACCTGGCTGAGAGCAATAGCAGCCACAGCTGTATTGACACAAGAAGCTACAGACTTAATTTTGGGATAGAGACTAGAAGTCCTAACTCCCCACCAGGTCAGAGGTATTCTGGAAACAAAAGGTTACTTGTGCTTAACAGGGGGATGGCTCATTAAGTATCAGGCTATCCTCTTAGATACCACTGAGGTTTCATAAACACTTGCACTACTATTAGCCCTACTTCTTTGATGCCTAAAGGTACAAAGGTTAGCCATTCTTGTGAACAAGTAATCTCCCAGATGTATGGAGGCAGTCAGGATATTAGTGACCTGCCTGTCCATGATCCTGAGGAGGGTCGGTTCAATGAGGGATGGACCTGAGTCTGAGAAGAACAGGCAGGTTATGCAGGTGTCGGCTTACAACAGGTGACTGAAGCTAAACATCCCCTTGGACCTCTGCTCAAAAGCCAGAGCTCGTAGCTTTTACATGGGCATTGATATTAGCGAAAGGTTGGTAGAGAGGTGGAAAGGGTGGCCCTACAGCCCCTTAAGACTCCAGCCTTATTCTCAACTCCTGAGGAGCCATTAAAACCAGTCTATACCCCACAAGAGGATAAACAGGTCATAGGACAAGAAGGAATTGTAAATGGACTCTTGTAGTATGTCAAATGAACTGATTCTTCCCCAAGGAAGGCAGGCTCTAAAAACACTTCACGATTCCTCCCACATGGGAAAAGATACCACACTAGACACCATCACTCAAGTTTTCACAGGACTGGGACTAGCAATGACCATCCAACGGGTCTGCACAGCTTGCCCGTGTTGTGCTTACAAATCTCCAGACAATCCCGAACGGCTTCTCTTTTAGAACCTGTACAGAGGAGAAGAAAACACCCTGGGTAGAACTCGCAACTAGATTATATCCTTATGCTACCATGCAGAGGATGTACACAGATATTGATTCTAGTTGACACCTTCACGGCTGGACTGAAGCCTTTCCTACCCACTCAGAAAATGCTAGAGAGGTACTTAAGATGCTTCATAAAGAAATCATCCCCAGATTTGGACTATCCCAGTCTCTCCAGGGTGACAATGGACCTCCCCGTACCTCCCAAATAATTCAGGGAGTGTCAAAGACATTAGGAATACAGTATCACTTTCTTTCCACTTGGTGGACTCAATCTTCTGTAAAGGTAGAGAGCCTATCAGACCTTAAAGCAAGCTCTGCAATAACTCTGACAAGAGAAATCTGACTCCTGGCTCTAATCTTCCAATAAAACTCATGTGGGTTCCTAACATGGCCAAAACTGGGTTAAGTCGGAGCCTATTTGAAATGTTAAATGAAAGGTCATTTCTATGCTCCGAGATGATAGTAGACTGAGCGGCTATTATGAGACTCTTACAGTATCTTATAAATCTTGGCCAAGTAAAAGAAGCTATGCAAATGTCTGGAAACAGTGCTACCAGCTCCTGGCCCAGGGAGAACACCTAGTGTCCATACTGGAGACCAAGTGCTTGTAAAAACTCGGAGAGAGGTAACACCAGGAGATCGATTAAAGCCAAACTGGAAAGGTTCTTGTTCAGTTCAGTGACACCTGAAACATTAGAGCTGGAACACCATAGGCTTCCCTGTATGAGATATTCTGGTCAGAACGCAGAAGACCAGAAAGCTGCTAAGACCATGCGCAGGAGGTTTCTGCTGGGAAGAAGGACTGCATTGGCTGCTGGACACCACATGATGGGTGTTATAGCTCGGCAGGAAGTTTGTCTGCATTTTCATGTGTCCAGAGACTTTTCTTGAAATTTAAATTAAGGTGGTGGACTACTTAATCTGAAGTAATCTGGCAGAAGAAATTTCAAGGCAGGCTAATGTTGAGGTAGTAGCATGGCTGCTGCTGTCCTTTAGGAAGATCTGTGCTGAGAATCAAGAGCAAAGAGTCCAGCAGAATGATTTAAATCATTGTGAGTTGGGGCAAAAAGGAAGCTCCAGGAAATCTGTGGACTGCAAGGACAGACCAGAGGATCTCTTCCCAACTGAGAAGGAACAGAACAGAAAGGAGTGCCTGAGGGCATCACAAGAAGCAGCAGGACTCCCCCATTTACGGGCACAGAATAGCAAAGTTGAAAGACTTTGCTTTGAGAAGAAAGCCCCAGAGCAGGCGGCATGATCCTGAAGGGTGGCAGCCTACAGAATTTGTTCCCTGGAACTGGCTTCCGAGTGCTCAGCAAAACAGGTTCTCAACCCCTACAGCCAAGAGAGAAGGAAGCCTGACTACTGCGCCAGCTGGCGGCAGACCTTGGCATCCTCTATGGGGTGTTTGTTGAAGGTGCATGCAGAGTCGAAGATCTGTGGGGTCAGGAAGGCTTCCAGCCAGACTTCAGAAGGCCTAGGAGACCAGGCAGCGTGCCCCTGGGAAGGCAGTGTGTGAGGCTGTGGGCGGGAAGCCAAAAGTACAGTGGCGACCACAGAAGTTTGGCGAAGCCAGAAACCTGGATAGTGTAAGGAAAACCGCAAGGAGGAAGCGGAGGTGTCCCAAGACAGAAGCTGTGGGAGCTACAACCACCTAAGGGGTGGAGCCTGCCAAGCCCTTTAGAGCTCATATCTTGCCGTAGACTGCCTCAAATGCTGGACATGGAACCACAAGACTTAATGTTGCCTTGCTGGAATTGTGTTTGCTATGTTTCCATTGCTTATTACACCCCTTTTTCTAACTTTGGGAATGAAAATGTCTATCTTGTGCCATTGAAGCTTGGAAATATTTAACAATCTTTTCATTTGTGGAAGGACTTGCAGCTACATCTGCTTTAAATCTCAGAGGAAACTATTGAGTTGGACATTTCAGCAATCCTGAAATTGTTAGAACTTTGGTAACTCTTGGACTAATTGTCTTTTGCATAAAGGAATGTGCATGAGTCTCTGGGGTCCAGGGGAGGAATGTTGTGGTCTGTGTCTACATGTCCACCCAAAGCCTCATGCAGTCTTTTTCAGAGGTAGCTGGATCATGAATGTGTGACAGATTTGTGGTGCAATGCTGGGATTAAGGGCATGACTTGACTTACGAATCAGTCCACTGATTGGTTCTGCACTGCCCTCATCCCCGTAGCATACACAGAGCGTAAAAGGGGCCGAGAAAAGCCGCTCAATACCTCTGCTGCCTTTGCTACCCTGTGGGAGCCATGAACTGCCTTTCCTCTACAAGGCCCGTCTGCCACGTCACCCTGCCTTTGAAGCAGACTATGAAGGACGGAAGCCCCTTTCCTATGAATGAATCTAAATGGATCCATACTGAGGATATACTCCTAAGTGAAACAAAAAAGTCACACATGTGTAAATACCGAACAGTTACTCTGGTGTGAAAAACTATAAGAGTACATAAGATCCTAATGAGATAAATGACCATGTGAAACAGGAAGAAAGGGGCTAAAGGTGTAGGGAAGGTGGGAAGGGTAGGGGAAAGGTAATAAGGGAAAAGAAAAAAAATAGGAGAAAATGAAAAATGGGAAATCAAGTGTTTCTCAAGGGGGAGGGTAGGAGGGGGTGAAGGGAGAGCAGGGACAAGGGTAAAAAATGAGAATCAAGACCTGTCATGTGAAGGTACAAGACCCCAATAATAAATGTAACTGTACTGTATACCTAAAAGATACCAATAAACTCGATGAGGAAAAGAAAAAGGACTAAAGCCTCTAAAGACTTTGAGCCAAAGAAACCCTTTCCCCTTTCACACTGGGGTTTGGGTATTTTGTCTGAGAAAGGAGAGAATGTAACTACCACATGGGGGATGGCGAAAGAAGCTGAGAAAACAAGTGGGACCTGACAAAAACAAGATCTCGGTACAAAGCTAAATAATTCCCAGGACCCCATGTTTGGCCCATCTCGCAGTCTCCCAGAGGATGTGAATGGCACAAAAGAAGAGACATCCAACAAGGAGCCTGCTACCCTGTGGCTCACGTAGTTCACTTGGCATGTCTCAGACACATGGTCCCACTTTATTTGTGCGTTTCATCATTTTCTCTCTTTGTTCAGCCTAAGTTCCTTTACCAGAGCTAGTTTTTCCCATACCCCTTTACCCCTCCCTTTACAAATAAAATTTTGGCACCGTTTTTATTTAACTCTTTCAGTTCTTTGCTCCAGGCAAGAAGAAGCCGGAATGTGTGTAACTGGTGAGCGACTTCTAAGGAACTACATGACCGTACAACTGCGTCCCCTTTCCCTGAATTAGGAGACCTCCAGATTCCTGACACCGGATTCCTCTGTGTAGTGGAAAGTTTTCTGATATCTAAGCACAGAACCCTCAAAGCAAAACACCCATGATTTCGTGCCTGGATCCCAAATATCTGAGGACTGAGAGTCTGCCAATGTGCAGTTGCTTTGTGAATGCAAACAGGGAAATTCGGGCTTCTCAGCAGGGTGTCTGGGACAGTAGGGAAGGACATCCCATCACGGGCAGCTCAGCTTCTGAAGTCTCTGCCAGTGAACGTGGCTCACTGTAAATTCGGAGGCTGAATGGTCACTTCAAGCCAAGGCAGGTGTGCCATAGTATAGCACTTGTTTCTCACAAAATTTCTTTTTCCCATAAGAGAGACAAAAGCCACCTTTCCTAGGGAATGTTTTCAGAATCCAATGCACTCACAAAACAATCCAGACATTGCAAAACTCCCACCAGCATCCCAATCCCTCCCACCTCATAAGGAAGGGAACGTAAGGACCTGCTCCCATAGAAAACAACTCTGAATTACACAAGGCCATAGATCACACTGACGATGTGCACTGTTTTAATGTAGGTATGCAGAAGGGGGAGGAGACATCCTTAAACAAACACTGTTCATCACAGATTTAACACACCAAAGTCTCCTGTCCTCAGTGTGCAAGAGCAGCTCTGCACAGTGCAGTTACTATTGCCAGGCCATTCCCCCTCCACACAGTTGTTATACCCTGAACAAGGGGCCAGAGCCAATGGGCTTTCCATGTTTCCTCATCAGAGCAGTCCTCTTTGCTGTTGAGCCTCTAAATCTATTGTCTCAGTAAGTAAGAGAATGGCTGAGAAACCATATGTGAAAACCCCTTAGTACAGCATATGCTGACCCGCCAATTTATCCCATTATTTCTACTGCTACTCGTTTCTCTGCATCACTGTACTCAGAGGAAATGGGAGAGAAATTAGCAGTTCAGGAATCTCTTCCTGTTGAAGGTCCAAAGACATACTTACAAAGACTTCTTGAGGCAAGGGAGTTAGCTCAGTGGTGCTGCTGCCTTCTCACAAGCACAAGGTTCTGAGTTTGATCCCTGTTAGCAGAAGAAAAAAAAAAAAAAGCAAAAGACTTCATGGACTGGGGATGCACACTAGTGGTAGACAGATTATATAGCATGGCCAAAGCCTGTGGTCTGATATCAGGACCATTAAAAAGGCTTTACGTGCCCTATGATTAAAACCAGAAGACGTGGAGCTACATAAACCTGGATTGAGTCCATGCACTTTAACATCTTGGATAAGTCACCCCGGCCAGGCAGAAATATGTTTCATAAACCTTTAACTGAGTCTTTAGAATCCATTCTTTTTTCACATTTATGAGTAAGAAACATGAAAAACCACTTTTAGAGAAACCCGAGTTTGTCCTGAAACCTGTTACAGCAAGAATCTGCCATACGTCCGTGTTGCGCCTAGTGAGTGGGCATTCTCCATAACATGACTGGGGAAACAGAAGTGTTAAGGGTGGCTGAGGCACGCACTTGCGGGGAAGTTCCACGACCAAACCCCACATTGAATTCAGAGGAGCTGCACCTCTTCTTTCAGGGATATCCTGACTCGTGAGTGTGCGACCAGATAGAGAAGGCACCTCGTTAGATCCACGGCCTCAAGACTCCTTCCTGAATGCCACAGCTCAGCAGAATTACCCATGGGACCATTCGGTTCAGGCTTCTCCACAGCGTCCCAACCCACCACAACACAGAGAATCAAGAGGACCATGTCACTCGGAGGCAGAGGGACGCAGGCCATGTTTAGCAAGGAGGGTAAGGAGGCACAGTTCAATTTCAGTTTCACAACTTCTTTTGAATAGGAAATAAGTTACCCTTGATTGCCATTGCATTCTCTGCTTCAGAAACATGGGTGTAGAAGCAGATTTTTCTGTGTTTCTAATGCCCTAGTGTTTCACTGGGTGGCAAATAACAAAGACTCGCCTAAGGATTGAAATCACCTAAGCATTTCAAGTAGTTTGACACATTGCCAGCATAAACAAGAAAAGAAAGAACAGAAATGCCAATAATCTGGGTAAAAGCTACATGTTTCAGTTCCTGAAGAACTGAAGAAAAGGGGAATTTGACCCCAAGGAATTTCTGGGCCTCTGATGCCACATTTTGAAGGAAAATACTGCCAGTAAAAAATCAAAGGAAAAGATGGTCTCCAGCGAGTCCACAGTAAGAGAGTGCTTAAGAATATCTTACAGACTAGTGTACGTTTCTACCTTCTTTTGCAAGTGATGAGATGTAAGCATCTGAATTTTTAGGTATCGTCCCACCCTAAATTGAAGTGAATTTGTGTAAGGAAAAAATGAGGAGAAATTTCTCTGTCGCTGCCAAGTAACAGGTCCTCCATCTACACACCTCGCACATTACAAATGGTGGTGAATCCTGATGGCTGCCGGGTGCTGAGCCCTGTCAACCTCCAGGTGAGGAGTCCAAGCTGGGCAACACAGGATGAGTCTCAGGGATGAACAACCCCAGGATACGGGCTTCTTCTTCCATCACAGCTGGATTTGTGTGGTGGCTTCCAAGATGTCCAGTTAAACAGCGAGGAGTCTCCTTGCCCTAGAAGAGGAAATATGCATGTAACTGAGATTATGGCAAAGTACATTGAGCTGCACAGAGGTGGGCCTGCAGTGGTGAGAGAAGGAGTGAAACCAACCACCCTAATATGTGAGACTCTGTCCAATATGTGGGCCTCGGGACCTGAGACACTAGAGCCTGGGCACCTACTGTGTGCTACACACATCTCAAAGATGACTGCGTGTGAGTCTCACAACATCTAAAATACAAGGTATGATTCCCACTGTGTTAATGAGGGAATTCAGGCTGAAAAATGACAAATGGTATAGCCCATCAAGGCTGAATGACTTTCAAAGCAGACAACTGGAGGGGTGAAGTCTTTAAGAGACACTGGTCCATGTGTTCTGTCATTGGGGCCCTTTGTCTCTGAAATTCCTGCCAAATATTTGACCTTCCGTGCGGATGCAGACAGCATTCTCCAACACCACCACGTCCATTGTTGCCAGCTTTTCCTATTAGGTAGATAGCACTGATCCCGATTACCTCCATTTGTTGCCCACTGTAGAAAACTTGAGCAGCACTTGTAGGATCCCCACAATCCTGGAGTTCATTTGGACGGTCCAGTGCAGTCTATTTTTCCTTCTACCTGCTATGGAAAGAATTTTGAGATATTCGGAAAGACTAAAAGTTTGGTGGTAAGATTTTAGTCTCAGGTCTCTACAATCAGAAAATTGAAGCACAGTGAGTTTCTCTGTTACAGTGGCAACCACATCAAACAGAGGGAAACGAAGAATAAGTGGAAGAAGTCACGGCTTAATAGGATCTGCACCCAGATCTACACTGAGAGTACCGTACAGGGCCCACGAACTGATCTAAGCACGGTTGATGGTGCCTAAGTGAGAGATTCTGTAAAGGGCTTTCCACTCCATTCTAAATGACGGCATATGTGGCAGCAGATTCTCCCTGACCTCTGCACAGCTCTTCTCAATGTTGCTCCCATTTACCTGTTACTCTGTGCAGCTGGTGCTGTCTCCACTCCTTCGGCATCACAGGATCACAGACCACCCAGTCCTGGTTTTCCACTACAGGTCTTAAGGGAGGTGGTGACCGTAGAATGATGCAAAGATGGGTTAGGTGGACTGTGGGTGGACAGCCCGCTATCAGTGTAGACATACTAGGTACTGGGAAATTCCCACTGCAAGTGACTGAAGTGCACACACCACTTTTATGTAGAAGAATGTTTGTAACCTGTGTTGGGAGCTGAGCGCTCCAGTTTGCAGCTTATACCAAGTGGGCCAAGTGAATGAAAGTTATGGTAGGATTACAAGGACTTTACCATAACACCAGAGAGCACCGCGATCCAGAAGCCTGACTGCCTTTTGCGTAAGGCACCATAATTAAATATTACAGCACAATTACAACGTATGTCTCTGAGAGACAATACCACATATTTTCTAGAAGGGGAGTTTCAGAGAAATCTTTGTTTTCTTGTCATTCAGTAACAAATTGATTGAATTACTCGAAACTATGAAAAACAAATCTGGGAAAACCGTTTTCATTCAATAACAGGCATCAAAATTTTTACAAATGGGTTTTATGTCTTAGTATATAAACAAATGCGGACAGTTAAACAATGAAGAAAGCGTATCCAAGGGCATGTCTGTGTGATATTGTCAATACTCTCTAATATTATACACTGGAAAATGGCTTACATAAAAAAGCTGAAATAATTCATAACATTTTCGTGAAGACTTCCTTATGGTAAATGATATTACCATCACCTGAAATCTAATATACTTCTCTGAGGAGAAAATAGAAAAATACTGACCAGGTGCTAATATAATACAAATGTTATGGCTTGTGTTTAATTCACCCCAAAGGCGTCGTGCTCTTTCACAGGTGGCTGATTCTAGAGTATGTGATGGAATCCTGGTGGCACTAGGAACAAGGGCACTAGGAGTAATGACCTGAGTTCTATGTGCCCTAAGTCTTCTGAATAAGATAAAAGGGGCAGAAAGACACTCTTCAGGTCTCTTCTTGGTTTTGCTGTCTTCTCCTGCCATGAACTGTTGCCCCTTGCCATGTGCCACCCTGCCTTGGAGCCAGAAAATTATGGACTGAAACCTCTATTAACTGTGAGCTAAATATAAGCTTTCATTGAACTTCAGGTGCTGGCTTTTTTTTTTTTTTTTTTTTTTTTTTTTTTT